ACCCTAGCTTATATACAAGAGCAAGTGGTCTGGATTGAAACCAATTCGACGGCTACCAAAATCCCACTATGATAATATTAATATACGGCATCGTAGCCATACACTTGGCCTCACAATTAATAATACATCTAATTCAGTAAATGCTTTTATTTTAACTTTATAATAATTTTAATTGATTTAATATTTGATAAAAAACTGTAGACTGAATAAGTTATTAACTTTTTCATAACCTGTTGAAACTCTTTATATATATATATATATATATATATAGACACACACACACACACACACATTGTTGGTACTTAATTTATAACATATTGAGATTTGTTGTATGCTACATTCAATTCTTATGAAAAATGAATAACTTGTTAAAGCTCATATAACAAAATAATTCTCTATATCTAGTAATTTGAATACTTTTTACATTCTTACAAAACTTTTCTAATGACATGTGCATAACATGTCTTGAGTTCAAATCCCATGAGCAAAAGTTTAGTGTTTTAAACACTAGTAATGAATATACTATTTAGTAAATTTAGAGAGATGGCAAACTTAGAAGCATGAGTAAGATAAAAATTAGACATCCAAATACAATCACTTAGAAAATACCTAAAGTTTATGACATTAATACTTTAAATTAAGTATCAAACTCCTATTCATTAGTAATGACCTCTAGAGAAGGTGGTGGTGGCGGAATATAAGTGGTGTGATAAAGTTTTAATAAAGAAATATGAAATATCAATTTAGAATTATTTTTGTAAAATTTATATAATTTACAATTTCCTCATGGTAATATGCAAATGTATATATTGGATTAGAGTGGCTAACAACTTTATATCACACAGTTCTTGGACAATTTATAACAAAGCTGGTACTAGAAATGCTACCCATAGCATATAATTTTCAGTCTTGATTTGTTACAATGGTTTCACCTGTATAATTTGGTAATATGAAAATTTAATAGAGCTTTCATCAAAATCAATCTTATACCCTCCAACTACTAGTACTAAAGTTTGGTACTAGAGTAAACCTGGTAAAGGTAATAAAAGTGGTAACTACTACACTTTTGGCAGCAAATGCAATGACAACCATGATGAATGGAAGTGCACATAGGCTAGCCTTGAAGTACACCTTCATATTTGTTAATTGAATTACCTAAATCTTTAGCCATATATAGCTAAATCTGGCTTCCTCCATATGCTACAATCTGATTTAGTCAAACATAATCTTGAAATTTGAGAATCAAATTTGTTATGAAAACAAAGTTTGTACTTGGATTCTTAGTTGGGCTTTAAGATTTAAAACAAGATGCCTCACCACAAAAATAGCATCCAATTGTACCTGTCAGCACGTTGTAAAATTGTCACATTGTTTTGTTGAAAACTTCTAGATTTTCTAAACTGGGAGGAAAATGTCCACACAAGATCTTCCTAAAAGTTTCAAATCTAATCTAATCCCTAAATCTTCTCATAGTAAAACTACACTATGAGAAGAATGCATTTACCTGCTTGTGCCAAACCAAGTAGAAACTATGAACACATGCATAAAGGTGTTAGTCCCATGCCTTTAATCCCTTGAAGGCAGTGGGTAAGTAAGACATTGCCGTGAAAAGCCAAAGAAATAGGCAGAATGATAATGTATTGCAATGTATTTTATATTAGGGATAAATCTAAAAACATTCTAAATCTTACTTTTATAGTCACTGCTGCTCACATCAAGGTTCAGTCCTAACCTTGAACCTCTCAAGTTTGTGTTCCCAAACTTGAATTTCCGAGCTTGCCTTTTTCCTCTTTCTCCGTGTGTAATTGATCAAGCCATGGCTCAAGTACTATTCATAGAGACGAAAAGAGAAAGTATTCAAGTGATCTTCAAATCAGGGGACCTCACTCACCTCACGTGTTCTTGGGGGAGCATGGGCCCCCAGTCTTGGAGTAGTACAAGCGTGAATAGTATCTGAGCCATGGCTGTTCTTCATCCATTTTATACGAGGCTTTAGCTCTTGCTATTGGCATTCTTTGCACTCCTTCATTCGTGACTTCCATTCGCATTAAAAATTTCCCAACCACAGATTTTCCCTTGATGAATATGTAATAGTCTGAATGGGTGGAGCCATCAACCTTGCTGGTTACACCAACACATGGATCGTATGACACCGATTAGATACATGAAATCATTCATAATGACTGCAAGTGGAAACTTTAGGCCAGCTTGCAATCTGTAATCGTACACAATCACGTGTGTCCGACTGAGGAGCATTGGACTAAACCTTACATAACTCCCCCATGGTCTGCCATTCTTCGCCTTCATTAATGGTGACCCACAATCACCACCCACCACCAACAATATTTTCGAGAGTTATATTACCTGAGTTGCTTCCACTTTAGAGCAAAACCTTCACGGAGACTTCCCAGTGATCTACGACCGTAGATGGCTGGAAAGAGAAAATCAAATTCTCCAACGGTGTTCACGGAGATCCTTTTCCAGTGAACCCTATGCAACAGTTTTCTCGCTCGTTTCCTCTTGTAGGCTCCAAAACTAGCTGGGAGAAATGGAATCGATTCCCACCAACTAAGCTAAACGATGCACGAACTCGACACACTTTGCAAAGTGATCACCTGGATTTAAAGAAAGAAAAGGAAACAGAGATTGACTTTCAGAGTACCAAGTCGAAAGCTGCTGCTGGATTTTCTCGATAGAAACCAGTCTGTTGCGTGACCTGATCAAGCTCCTCTATCCACCCGGCAGCACAAGTCTCCAAGCAATTCGCTGGTACGAGCTAAAACCATTGCAAAACTCGTTACAAGAATATTCGAAAGGGAAGGCCACTTTAATAATCATTGTTTGTGTGTGGCGGATGCGCTCTCCAAAGTCCGACGTCGTGGAGTGATGTGTCATTGGATTTTCCAAGAAAGACGCATCGCTGGCGAAGCTGGGGATGCTAAGCTGAGATTGACTAAGTTTCACTGATTTAAACAGTAACGTCGCCCGATTCTTGCGTAGCTTTCTTCTTCTCTCTTTTTCTTTTGCGATAATTCTTCCACTAGTTATAGATTATGACAGACATAGCACATTGAGCGAAAAAAAAAAGGAGAAAATATTTCCCGTATCTCACAAGTGTGAATGTACCAAAAACTCTCATGTTTTTTCAGGTCAAAATAGTTTACCATTATTTTTTTCGTAAAGAAAAGATTTAGAAACGTAACCAAATTGAGACTCTTGGAGAGTTTTTAACCTCTGACTTTGAGACTTGCCACAGTACACTCTTGGCAGATTTATCATCGTTCGCCCCGTCTCGTTCTCTTCCTGAATCAAAGTTTCTGAAGAACAAGGAGACGAGATAATCTTCCTTTGGCTAGATCTCGAGCGATGGAGTCCAAGAAGTCGATGCTGGTGGTAATGATCCTGGGCGCTGCCGCCGCGAATGTGTTTGTGAGCGCTGCCGACCCCGACCCGCTGCGAGATTTCGAGGGGTCGGAAGATCTTAGCAATTTCGTGCTGTGAGATGTGTTCAAGAATGGGGTCGTGAGCAATGGACCTGGTGGCGTTCGCGCAGCGATCAACACGACACTGTTCCCAGGAATCACGTACTTTTCTTAACTCTTTGCCTTTGGAGATCCCAATCGAGGTTTTCCTTGGTTTTCTTTGCAGGTCTCAAGGGATAACTTATGTACACTTTAACTCGGTTCCCTGTGGAGTCAATCTCCCACACACGCACCCTCGAGCTTCCGAGCTCCTCACCATGATCTCTGGCGGGCCACTTCAAGTTGGATTCGTGGATACAGCTGGTAGCAAAATAAGCTCTCTCTCGATCTTATAAAGAACATATGGGGTGATTTTCCAGGAGTACCACGCATCAACCTCTTGAACCCGGGCGATATCACGATATTCCCACGGGGAATGATGCACTTTGAGATCAACGTCGGGACCAAGCCTGCGTTTTACATTTCAGCTCTCAACAGCCAAAACCCAGGAACTCTGATAAATAAAGCTTTTCTCTTCACGTTTTTCTGATGTGTGTGTGTAGAAAAGTGGTGGTGCTCTCTTGATGATCCCGGACAGGTCCGTTGCAACTGCGCTCAACGTAGGGCTGGACATGATCCGGAAGCTCAAGGAGAATATGCTGCCATACACCCCGCAGCTCGAGTTGGCCCCACCCGCCGTGTGCGTTCCTGGCCGAGACATCACCACCAAGATTTAAGGTCTTTTGTTTACATTGTCCATTGTAACTAAAGTGATCCATCCTTCACTTGGTTGGGCTTTTCGATGGGAACACTTATATTTAAAGGCTGACTTTGTTTCGAAGCAAGAGGATGGTCGTGTCCAAGTCTCGTGCTGCTGCTGGATTTTCTGGATGATTTACACTCTACCTACTGATTTCATTGCAGTGAATTGCTTGGGTAGCTTGATCAAGCGGTTGATCAAGTGGTTTCTATTTCAAAAACCACTAGGTAGAGGGAGTGCTGTGGATGAGAGTAGTGTTAGCAGCGGAGAGATGCGGAGGAAGAACTTTCTCCGTGTATTCAACTATATATGGATAGTACATATACATGGAACTACTGCCACGTGCTCCATTAAGTCATGCTTCGGTGATACAGCGATCAAGTCGCTCACTACTTGTTAGAGGTAAGATGACGTGGCAGTAGTTCCATGTATATGTACCATCAATACACGGAGAAAGTTCTTCCAGGAAATAATGGAGGAAATAAGACCGATCTCTCCATCTTGATCTCGATCTCGTAGAGATCATTAGAAGTACCACGCATCAACCTCTTGTACCCAGGCGATCTCACGGTTCTCCCGTGAGGAACGATACATTTTGAGCCTCGGCTCTCAACAGCCAAAACCCAGGTAAACAAAACAACATCGCCAGGACCTTTTTGCTGAAATTATTTACGTTATTCTTTTTTCTTAATAGTTTTTGTGTTGTGTGCGTTCCCGGGACAAGGTTGTGAAGCCATGCAACTATTAGGAGCGAAGATTTCAGGCCTGCTTGTAAAAGATGTAAACATAGTACTTTTTGCCACTATAGTTAACGCTTTGAGCGCCAAATAAAAAAACCTAGTACCTGATTGATCCACGACGAACGTCTTGCCTCACGCGTTGTAACGTATTTGTTCCAGTGCTGCCAAAGGAGCCAAAAACTTTTTAGTCTCCCACACCATGAGGAAACAAAGACCTCACCAAAGACATCGAGAGAAAATAGCACCGATGGATTTCCCCCGTGTGGATCGCAAACTTTCAAGGGCGCTGATTTCAATTCAGAGCCCAGCAACAGGGAACGCAGCCGCGACCTGAATTGGAACCAGCACCACCGAAACCTGCAATCCTTGGCTGCTGCAAAAACAAGCACAGGGACGGATTTTTATACACGGAGAGGCCACTGCAAATCGGCAAAAGAAAAAGAGATGTCTCCATACCACTGGAAGATGACAACATGCTCGCCTCCCGCTGCTAAACTCGCGTCCGGCAACTCGCTCAAAAGCTTTGGTGGGAGTGTCGCCATGTCATCCCAGAATGTTGACACACTGTACGCGCAGGGCGAGATGGTCCCCCTTTAAAAGTCGGATATCTGTATAGTGTAAACATCACATTAGCAAAGAAACAAGAGAATCACTAGGTAGAAAAACAGAGAGGGGACAGGCACAGATTACCAGAAAGCTTTTCGAGGCTGGAGTTCCGGATATGTGTACCACCTCTGAGAGCCAAATGAAAGAGAATGTCAGTGCCCATAATAAAAACTAGGAGAGGCATTTTTCACCGTCCCAATGCTGCCTCGTGAAACAAGCCCCGGAACAGCTCAACTGTCTCGCATAGATCCAGGATGATCCTACAACGTAATGCTAGTGCCCCTTTTCGTCGATGCAAGCAAACATCTTTTTTATATCCGTTGCCTGCCAAAGAGAAGCTGTAATCAAGAGAAAATCTCCTCTTAGAAAAGAAACGGACGCTTACCTGATAAGTCTCGTCACGGTGAGCGGAGCTCTTGACCTCGTTTGTGCTGCTCGTAAAAGGTCGCAGCACCCAAGGCTTCCGCTCGCTGGCCGGTTCGCTGGCTTGGAAGTTAATTTTCTGGCTTTAACACCCCCACCTGAGACAACGTAAGTCTCAGTACCGCATCCTTTTGTTATCTTTTCCAGCTTTTAAAATTCTTTTTCTTGATGAACCAGTCATACCTGTGAAAGCGAAGTGCTAGACAAAAGTGTGCACTGGATGTGTACCTCTAGAGTCCCAATCATCGGGCCCCCTTGACCGGTTCTTCCCTTTCCAATGGCGGGTAGCTGCAAATATGAAAGTCAATAAGACCAAGCCAATCAGCCAACCGAGACAAACCAAACGCAAACTTACGAAGAAAAAAACTGGAGTAGCGTTTACCCGTCCATTTCCTAGCACAAGGAAAAGACCGAGTCATCAATCCCCCATACTAAAAAAAATATAAGGAGCGGTAGCGGCCTTCCTAGAAAGAAAAAGAGAGCTCTCGAGTCAACTCCTAGGCACAGAAAAAAGTGTGAAATGGAGAAGAACAGCACCATGAATGGACAAACAGCGTTCTTGTTGCCTTTTCGCGGCCACAAGCGATATATATATATGTATATATATGTGTATATATATATGTATATATATGTGTATATATATATGTATATATATGTGTATATATGTATATATATGTGTATATATATATATATATACATATATATATACATATATATATATATATATACATATATATATATATATATACATATATATACACACATATATACATATATATATATACATATATATACACACATATATATACACACACATATACACACATATATATACACATATATATACATACATACATATACATACATATACATACATATATATACATATATATACACACACACATATACATATATATACACACATATATATACATATATATACACACATATATATACATATATATACACACATATATATACATATATATACACACATATATATACATATATATACACACATATATATACATATATATATATACATATATATATATATACATACATGTATGTATATATATATATGTATATATATGTGTATATATATATATCTATACATACATACATACATATATATACATATGTATGTATATATGTATGTATATATATATATCTATATATATATATCTATATATATGTATATATATATATATATATATATGTATATATATATATATATATATATATATGTATATATATATATATATATATATGTATATATGTATATATGTATATATATGTATATGTATATATGTATATGTATATGTATATATGTATATATGTATATATATGTATATGTATATATGTATATGTATATATGTATATATGTATATATATGTATATGTATATATGTATATATATATATGTATGTATGTATATATATGAGTATGTATATATATATATATGTATGTATATATATATTTATGTATGTATATATATGTATGTATATGTGTATATATATATGTATATATATATGTATGTATGTATATATATATATATATATGTATGTATATATATGAGCATATTAAAGGCTACAAAGTTGACATTTAATACTATTTTTCTTGGCACTGCATTTTTTTAGAGTTGCTTCCTATTTTCCTATCCCAATTATTCACCTCAAGAAATTCTTCACTCATTTCCATTTGTCTTTGAATTTCAAGTAGACCTTCCTACTATTGAGATTCTAGAGAATATTTTAGAAGTGAACATTCTATGTGTGAGTATTCCTGGGAAAATTCCAGATGTAGATGGGCTAGCAAATATTCTAGACATATTTTACACAAAACAAAGAAGTTACTCCACACAATCTTGTCAATAGTCAAAGAGGTGGAAGATGCATAAGCAATTGGTGAGAGTTTGGTGGCAACACTTTGTCCAGGTGGCTTTTAATGGACAACATTTACAGAAGTTCATTCTAAAACAAAAGATGAAGTTTTTGGCATAAATGCCAATGCTTTTATTTTGCAACCCAAAAATTTATATAGTTATTGTGCAGCACTTTGACACAGTACACACCATAGACACACTGCCCCATTTATATTATTCATGGATTAATAGTGATGTTAAGAGATTTACCTAAACTAATAGGTGTCTTAGGCTCAAATGTCTTATCCACAATGATTTCCTGTACCTCATTATAATACTCATCCACAACCAAGACTTTCCCTCCACCACAGCCACAACCTTCTCTTTTTATTATCAACTGATAAAGAGAACTTTGGGGCTTTGGTTCCCTTTAAGTTTTTTCAAAAAGGGGTAAAGTCTCATAATAATTTGGTATAAGGAGTTGTAGCAACAAGGATTTGGGGCATGTGGGCTGCAAGAGTTATCTTCACTTAGCCAATTTCAGTCAATGTTATGGCATCTTTATAATTTATATATGGAAGACACAGTGGTTAACCTTTGTAGAGAACAAAGTTTAGTGCTTGTCTTTGGCCTAACCATTAGATAAAAATCATAACCCTTTGAGACTAGGAGTTGATTGGTGTGGAGAACATTACTAATGCCTATACTCAACACAACAGTCATAACCTTGCTTGCTCCCACACAGAGTGCACCACCCCCACATATTTTTGCAGACCAAAGATACAAAACCAGGAGAACTACAAGCAAGAGGTAGTATAATCTGAATTACCCAAAACTCTGGCTTTATATAATTGAACTCCAACTTCAAGTATATAAATCATGAGAAGAATCGTCAAAAGTTGTTTGTACAATCTTTTGAATTTAAATATACTCTGATACAATTAGATCTATCTACATCAGATAAAGGAAAATTTAATAAGTACTCCCAAACTCACCACTTAACCCCTCACCAACAAAAAGAAACATCCAATTGCACCTTGACCACTCTAACCCTTGTAATATTCCTCCATGATGTTTCCATTGTGGCTGGCAACCTTGTTAGTTATACCAACTTTTGCAACAAAGACACATTTTGCTATACCATAAACAGTCCTTTTGGAGCAGCTTCACTCAAGCCCCTCAAGGGAAAGGAAATTATAGCCCTGGAAATGAAGTTGTGAGTGACGATTTGATGATGGATCACTGGAAATACTAGCAGGGATCGCTGCATTTGAAGCAGTCTCAGATTTGTTTGGTAAGTCCACTTTGTATGTAGCTTTCTTCTTCTTTGTTTTACATCCCGATTACAACAGACATAAAAAAGGCAAGGTATATTATATGGGCCATGGAATATTTTCGGAATATTCTTGTGGAAGTTGGATATGGCATTGCTTTCCAATCCTTGATTCAAGGACATAGGATTTGTGATTCTCAGTCCACCATCCACCATTGTTGCTTTGTTTCTTAGAAATTTATTTCTTGCCTGGAAATTGCTTCACGCTACCTGGCAAGAGACTGGTTTGTATCCAAAAAATCCAGCAGCAGCACGTGTAAACCGCTCTGTCTGGGTGATCACTTTGCAAAGTGTGTCGAGTTTGTAGTTGAAACTCCATTTTCTGTTTTCAAAGACGTCAAACAGAGAGCAACTGTTGCAGGGGTGCTGCATGGGTTCATAGAGGCGGCCTGCAGCAGCAAGGCATCAGAACTTAAAAGCCGCAACAAAGTGAATGATGGATCGTTTTCATTACAAAGGTCATTTTTAATAAACGAAGAAAGCTTCATTTCAGAAAGTCCTTAAATCATTGTGGTGACGTCTTGGTCGGGAATGCATATCGTGGGCGGGGCCAACTCGAGGCGGGGAATATATGGCAACATATTTGCCTTGAACTTTCATATCATGTCCAGTCCTACGTTGAGTGCCATTGCAGAGGACCTGTCTGGGATCTTCAAGAGAGCACCACCACTTGTCTACGCACAAAGAAATGGGGTAAAAAAAACATAGAGAATAATGAGAAAGCTTGCAAAGTTTTTTGTATACCAGATTTCCTGGGTTTTGGCTGTTGAGAGCTGAGATGTAAAATGCAGACTTGGTGCCGACGTTGATCTCAAAGTGCATTGTTCCCACAGGAATATAGTGATATCACCTTGGTACAAGAGGTTGATGTGTGGTACTCCTGGAAATCACAGTATATCTCATTATCTCTCTCTCTCACTCTCACTCGTGCGCGCGCGCCCACACACAGACACAGAGAGAGAGAGAGAGAGAGAGAGAGAGAGAGAGAGAGAGAGAGAGAGAGAGAGAGAGAGGGGGGGGGGGGTCTTATTTCCTACCGGGTGTTTCCACAAATCCAATTTGAAGTGGCCCGCTAGAGATCATCGTGAGCTCGAGGCTGCGTGTGTGGGAGATTGACTCCACAGGGAACCATGTGTTAAAGTGGACATAACTTATCCCTTGAGACCTGGAAAAAAAAGAAAGTAAAACCATGAATGGATTAGTTATTGTGGTATCAAGCAAAGGCAAAGAGGAAGAAATATATGTGATTCCTGGGAAGAGTGTCGTGTTGATCGCTGCGTGAATGCCACTGGGTCCATTGGTCACATCGCCATTCTTGAACACATCTTGCAGCACGAAATTGCTGAGAGCTCCGGATCCCTCGAAATCTTGCAGCTGGTCGGGGTCGGCGGCACTCACAAACACGTTCGTGGTGGCAGCGCAGCACTCAGGATCGTCACCACCAGCATCAACTTCTTGGATTCCATCAAAGAAAGATTATGTCGATGAGATTATTTCTTCTTGAGAAACTTCGAGAAGAGTGCGAAGAGCAAAAGAGAAAATGAGAGGGAGCAAACAAGCGAATGGAAGAGATATGATAAATCTGCCAAGAGTGTGGGGTTTATATACTGTGGCAAGTCTCCAAAGTCTACATAAAAATCTCCAAAACACATGTCTCCATTTCTAGATCTATTATAGGTAAAAGTATACCTCGATTTTTTGCTTGACTAGGTCTCATGTTCCAAATCCAGAGCTAGTCAATAAGAATTGGAGCCAAGACATAGATTTTATCTGACAAACTAACCTTTTTTTGTTGTTTTAGATGGAAACTACAAAGTAAAATTAGCATTTTTTCTATGTTTCAATGCTTACTTTTTTTGTGTTATCTAAAAATAGTCATAAGTACTGAATATACCTAGAATATATTTAGATATTTGGGATATTCTAACGTATTTTTCAAAATTATAAACACTTCCTAGTATATTCATCTTTATTCTATCATATAGATTAATAAATTAAAAACTTCATAGCTCTAACTCAAACACTGAGTTCAATAGTTATTATTCACAAAGTCAGCAAACTTCAAAATTTCAGTAAACTTTATTATCATCATAAAGACAATTGATATTTTTCTTCACTTACAAATGTGATTGAACACTCATTTAATTTCATATATTCATATGGTAAAATATATATTGAGGTTGGGTAGTATGTTTCTAGATGTGCACCAGAAGATCTAAAACACGTTATATATGTATACATATAAATCAACTTCTCTTCTAGCAAAACTCTTAAATGAATCACACATTGATGAATTGAATAAAGAAATAATACTAAATAGGAATAATTCTACTAATGCTCAATTGTGCATAGGTTGAGCTAGTGCAATCTAGATTATAAACTTTTGCAAATTCAACCCACCACCGCTTGCAATTAAACTTAAAATTTCCCTCTAAAAAGTCAGGCTACTTTGCTTTGAGCAAGGACATAAGGTTGGAGAAGCGTTGCTGCAGGGGCATGCTCTCTTCCTGTAGCTCCTCCTGTAAAACATGACAAGCACAAGAAGAAAAATCAGAGGCCAGGCCAGACTCGATCAACCTCGAGCTGCCGGGCTGATGGATTGCGCGGGCGCTGTAAGATGCGATTCCTGTGCAGTTCGTACGGGTACCGATAAGCCCGATCTGTGCTGCTGTCAAGGGCCTCCTCAGCCTTGTCTCCCCGCCGCCACTGTTACGCTAAATCAAAAACAAAGGAGGAGGAGGTGGCTTACCGGCTGCAATTGGTTGGCGGCGAGAGTGGTCCAGAGGAGAAACACCGAGGTGGGGTGAGTGGAGCGAGAGCGAGGGGCGGGAGGCGGGTTGGCCGGTGTAGCGTAGTAAATCTTCTTGTGGGCAAGCCATGGCTTGACACATCGGCGCAGCTTCAGTGGGAGCTCCCGATGCGGCCGCGGATAGGGTAAATGCCGCGGCATCTTTGGTCGCACCCAAATTTCTGGCTAGAAATACAAAGATGAACGAGCATTTTAATGCTTGCGCTTCTTATCTTGTGCCACCTTTTTCTTTCTCTTTTTCACGGCTTTTGGCGTCTTAGTTTTGCGGGCTTCTCGCTGTTCTTCCTTCACTTTCTTCTTGTGCTCTTTCCTGGCTGATCTCCGCTCCTCCCGGCTCTCCTTATTTGTTTCGTCTTCCTCGGAGTCTCCTTCTTGGTCACTGCTATCACTGCTTGAGGAGGCTGCTCCCGAGAGTACTAGCTGATCAGTCTCTGCCTCTGCTGTCGCCGGTTGCTTCTCTTGTTTTTCAAGTAAAGATGGAACTTGGCGAACTCCGGACAGATCTTCTTTGAGCCCGGTGATTGTCTGGTAGTAAATCCCCTCTGTGTCTTTACCCGTCGCTATGCGCTGGATATCTCTTTCGTAATCCTGGACTTGATCTAGAGTCCGAGGGATAAACGCCTGGCGTGGAAAAGTGAAGCTCAGATCCGAACCAAGCGCAACACTCTACTTACTTGGACGAAGACGGCATCCGCAACGTCGTCCGCAGTGGAGGAAATCCTTTCCTCGATTCGCTTTTGGATCTGGAAAACGCATCTAAGGGGCAAGCTTCAGGCGAACAAAACACTTACTTCATGAAGATAAGTTTCCACTTGGTCGTCGTTTATCGACGGGTCCACTATGAAATCAAACAGCTCCCTCACGGTCATGACAGCTACACCTCCTTTCTTGAAAAAATCCTACAGAGATTGGGTTAGATCGACTACTCACACATAATAATCCTCACGTTGACATGGACGCAATCTTGCCTGAGGAAGTCCAAGGCTCGGGGATGATCGAGGTCCACTGATTGAGAGACATCAATAATATAAAGATGGCCCTGTCACAAAAACGTTTACCAGACTAGCTTCTCTTAAAACATCGACTTACCTCGTGATATAGCACGTTGTATTCACTAAGATCACCGTGAACTAACCGACACCTTTGGTACATGGTACGCATTATTTGTACAATCTACACAAATTACATGAGGAGAAAAAAAACATACAAAGAAAAGACTGACCTCCAGATAAGATTCACGGTACTTCGTATCCGAGAGCGCTGCATCTTTTAGACGGGGGGCTGCCCAGCCATCCCTCCCTGTCATACAGAAACTAATTCAGTGAAAGGAACAATCTAATCTGCGTCAAACGACTTGCCTATGAAATCCATGACTAGAACATGGAGTCGCAGGACAAGAGGAGATGGTGCTCGAATTCCAGAAGCTTTGAGCCTGTTACGTAACGTAACCGTTAAGAGAGACCAGAGAAAAATAAGGAAGAAAAAAGACCTCAAGAGATTTCGCATTTCTTTCTCCGCCCACGTCTTGACCATTTTTCGTGGATTATGCTTAGAATAACCATGCCTGAACCGAAAGTCTCCTTGCACATACTTATCCCGATCTCTGAGATTTCACACGTCATATACCATAACGATTTGGTTCTAGACTTACTTGAAGACAAGGATCGAAGTTTTATAAACCTTTACAGCCAGTTCTTCTCCACTCTCTGTAGTGGCATGGTACACATTAGCCTGTAAATGAAACAGCAGAAGATTGAAACTTAAGAAAACACAGTTGCAAAAGCTTTGCCTCTTTTCCGGTGGATATACAGCCATTGATATCATGAAAGACTCCCCGATTTAACATTTTGAAAAGAACCATTCGAGTTCGAGGGTCCAAAACCTGCAATCTGTGTCATAAGCAAGAATAAAACATAATTTTTTTTTTTACTTGCTCCACAGTAGCTCTATCAGATTTTTCGTGAACGCGAACTCGACCTTCAGCTTGCTTGCGCACATTATCGCGTACCATTGTCGTGACAGAATTTGACATGACTGTATTGGTCTGACCTTCCCATTCCTAAGCCACGTAAAAGCAATGTAAAGAGAGAGAGGAAAAAAAACCACTATCAATGACTTACATGCAAAGGTCCGGCGCGTATGTGTGACAAAAACCTTTGATTTTGATTGTTTCGCGGCTGGAGCGCATTTTTCTGGAGAGCATTCTCGACACCTCCATTCGCATTTGGTCGATAATGGAACGAAGAATCAACAGCTCCACTTCTAGCGCCTAAAACACAAGGAAATTTCGACACAAAGACCCCTCAAACACCAATCCATACCTTCGTGGACGTCGAGCCAGTCCAATGCACCCGCCAGATCCTCTTCCTCCTCCCATTCCTCATCGTCCAGATAGGCATCCACGGATTCATCGCAAGAATCGGGCAATTCCACCTCGGGCGCGCCCGCCATCGCTGCCCAGGAACCCTAAACCCCTAAACCCTAAATCACTTAAACAAAGCTATTGCGAATGTTCTTCGCCTACGCGCGCTTTAAGTTTGGCGAGCGAATGTGGGTGGATTCCACATCAGGAGCGCTCGGAAATTTCTCCATCCTTTTGATCTCTTGACCGATCGTACGAGAGCGATCGGTCTCTCCTCCTTGGATTTATTTAAACAAGAGTGGAATCGATAGCCACAGTTGGAGTTTTGAGAGCTTTTGGCCATGGATTTCACGCTATTCTTCTTCCTCTTCTTCTCCCTGGTTTTTCTCTCGATGGTTTCTTCGCATCCAACTCACAGCGATTGCAACTCCGAGTCGGTCTCGCTTTTTTCTTGCTTCCCTCTCCTCCAGATGCAAAGCAAGGAAATCCCCGACGACTGCTGCGTCCATCTCCAAAACTCTCTCGCCGAGAATCTCCCCTGCCTGTGCGATCTCATCCACAGCGGCGGACAGTACTCGATCAACGAATCCATCGCCATGGAGCTTCCACAAATGTGTGACATCCACAACTTTGATTCCAGCACACAGTGCTCGTCAAGCAACCATGGTTTGTGTCAAGAACTTGGATCTTTCGTTTGGATGGTATGAAAAAAATCTGGTTTTTTTTCTTCCAGCTCCTCCGTTTGTAGCTGGGATTTCTTCCGTCCACCATCCGCCGCCACCACCGTTCTTCCAGCCTTTTGGATCGTTCCCAAATTTTTCGAGCAGCTCCAAGTTTGTGCCACTGATCCTTTGGATTGCGAGCATTGTCACGACGATCTTCCTGTACTGAAAGAGTGAATAGCAAAGAAAAGTTCTAAAGTGTCAAAGAATGTTCTATAAGCAAAAGCTAGAGCTAGCTATGGCGGATTTTCGAGCTAGATTAGACTAGTCATGCTATCACACACCTCTGTCACAGTATAACTTAACAAAAAATAAAGTATGGTTATAAGAAGATGCTTATCCAATGACAGGAAGGGCATATGGTTTTTCGAAAGGACGAGCAAGCGGCAGCGCATTGCCCTAATCCATTCGTCGCAGCTCAGCTCGATCGAGAGCGATGGCGCAATCGGCCGCCAAGGTTGCCTTCATCGGTCTGGGAGCGATGGGATTCGGCATGGCATCGACGCTCGTTCGTTCCGGATTCCAAGTCCAGGGATATGATGTGAGTGATCGATCGATCGATCGATATTATCGGTTTCTAGTGGTGAAATGTGGGAATCTCTGCAGATTTCGGAGCCGGCTATGCAGCGATTTTGCGAAATAGGTGGATCGTCCAGCTCCAGTCCAGCCCATGCAGCTCAAGGTTTTGTGTGAACATTTTTTGTTTCATTTCTTCTGACTGCTAATTTCGATTGGAGCGAGCAGACGCTTCGATTCTGATTGTTATGGTGACCAATTCGGATCAAGCTGACGCTGTTCTTTTTGGATCGAACGGAGCTGCCGCTGGTAATATCATCCAAGCAAATTCTAGTTCATTTTTTTCTTGGCTGTTTCTTCTTGTAGTTGTTCCTGAAGGAGCAGTCATTGTAATTTGCTCAACCGTGGCACCTGGATACATCCGAAAGCTCGACAAGAAACTGACAGGTGAGTGCTACTTTCTAGCTGGAAGTCTCTATCTTTCTAACTTATCATTCTTTTCCAGAAAGAAAACTCTACCTAGTGGATGCACCAGTTTCTGGTGGTGTCGCGAGAGCAGCTAACGGAACGCTCACAGTATGCATCACTTACATAACCTCCAATTCTTTTGGTGTCTAAAACTCTGGGATTGTCAGATAATGGCTGCAGGATCGAAAGTAGCTTTTGACAAAGCTATGCCGGTTCTTTCAGGTGAAATGATATTTTGATGAATATGAGCACTAACTGGCTGTAAGTTTTAACAGCTATGAGTGAGAAACTTTACATCATAGACGGTGGCATTGGAGCAGGAAGGCTCGTTTTCCATCTTTTATAACTACATTGCTTTACACTTACCTTTTTTCCTTTTGCAGTTCTGTCAAAATGGTAAACCAGCTACTTGCAGGAGTCCACATTGCTGCATCTGCAGAGGCAATGGCCTTCGCAGCTCGCGTGGGATTAAATACAAGACTTGTATACGAGGTTGTGTCACATTCATCGGGGAGCTCATGGTGGGTGTTTTACTTTCTTACTTACACGTTTTTAAGCTGGCTAATGCAGGATGTTCATCAATCGTGTGCCGCATATGCTGGATGATGATTATTTCCCTCATTCCGCTCTTAACATATTCGTAAAAGACCTTGTAAGCGTTGTTGTGCCCGAGCCTGCACCTTTTGGTAGAACTTAAGAACTTCGATTCAACGCATTTTCCTTACGTTTTACTTTCAGGGTATTGTCTTATCTGAAGGGAGGGAACACGTATTTCCACTTCCACTGGCTGCAGCAGCTCATCAACAATTTTTACTGGGTAGGAAGAGCTGCTTTCCACTGATGTTGCTGACTATGCTTACATTTATCAGGATCTTCATCTGGGTATGGTCGTGAAGACGATGCTGCAGTTGTCAAGGTCCTTTCGTTTCTCGCATTTGCATAACAAGGCTTCTGTGCTTGCCGCCAGGTGTGGGAGAAAACCGCAGGGATTAAAGTGTCTTCTCCAACCATTGATTCTCTTAAGACACCAGAAGATGCTGGCCGTCCAGAAAAAATTGCATTTATTGGACTCGGAGCCATGGGCTTGCGCATGGCTTCTAGGCTCGTTGCTAAGAAGTTTTCCGTCTGTGGCTTTGACGTAAGTCCTTTTATAGAAGTCCAGTTTCTTTGAAAGTTTATTTACAGGTGTCAAAGTCCGCATTAACGAAATTTGAAGAAATTGGGGGTCTTGCTGGCAGGAGCCCCGCAACGGCCGCAAAAGGTAGCAATGAACATGCAAACTAAAGCTATTGACTTCGATTTTCAGGTTCTCAAGTTCTATTTATCATGGTTGCTACTGAAGACCAAATAGAGAACGTTCTGTTTGCTGATGATGGAGCATTGTCAGGTAGATCTAATACGTGGCTTCATGACGATCAAAACACATTTTTTGTGTTTTACAGCATTGACTGCTGAAGCGGCCATTGTGATATGTTCCACTGTATCTCCTGATTACATTACAAATCTCGGAACTCGGCTCGAAGGTAATGAATGCATTCTACAAGTTCTCCGTAACATGCTGTTATATAGATCGAGGCATCCATATGGTGGACGCTCCAGTCTCAGGGGGAACAAAAGGAGCAGCAAATGGATCCTTGAGTGTAATATCAGTTTGGTCGTTTTTTTTATGGCTAACTATCTCGACTCTCATGCAGATAATGGCTAGCGGTACGAACGAGGGTTTGAAGATGGCGTATCCCGTGCTTTCAGGTACATAAGACATAGGCTATTTGATGGAACTGAAATGTGCACTTGGCAATGCACTGATGCAGCACTTGGGGACAAGCTATATTTTATTGGAGGCGGTGCTGGAGCTGGCAGGTGTGGTCAATAACATACAATTGTGGCTTACTTATAATTACGAGTTACATACAGCACTATGAAGATGGTAAACCAGCTTTTAGCGGGTATCCACCTTGTTGTTGCAGCAGAGGCCGTAGCGTTGGGGGCTCGTGCAGGGCTTGACACACAGCTGGTTTTCGACATAATCTCAAATGCTGCCGGAAGTTCATGGTAATTTTCATGTTTTCCTTCAATACTGGCAACTAACTTTTCACTGCCTTTTGAAAGGATGTTTGTCGACCGTGTTCCGCGCATGCTAAGTGGTGATTACTCTTCACACTCCAACCTAGATACTTTTGTTAAGGATCTGGTACGAAGTCTTTTTGTTTTTAGATTCTTCTAATTTTTTTGAACAAACTACAGGGAATTGTTCTTGATGTTGCCAAAAAGCTGTGTATAGCGGTTCCGCTGGCTTCTGCTGCTCATCAGCTTTTTCTAGCGGGTAAAATTATGGTATCTTATGAACTTGTACGTAAGTTTTTTAACAGGTTCCGCTTCCGGCTTGGGTAAGCAAGACGATGCAGCTGTTGTTAAGGTACATTTGAATTGTAGGGCGTCCTTGAAAATGTAAAGGAATTTTTTTTTCTGCAGGTCTATCAGCAGCTGTCCGGTGTAAAAGTTGCTACGACCAAGAGTCAAGCAGAAAGCAGCGATCTGAAAGCTGAATCTGCATCTTTACTTCCAATCATTGCCAAGGATGTCGCCTTTACGAATTTGCCAGAGGAATATCACGAGGATCCGATTGAGGCAATATGCGATGCAAAACGTGAAGAAAAAGCAAAAGTTCTTGTTGTTTTGGATGACGATCCTACTGGAACACAAACGGTACACGATGTCACAGTTCTGACAGAGTGGTAAGCCATATAATTTGATCTTCCATATCTCCTCTCATTTGGGATTGTTTCAGGGGCATTGAGTCCATAAAGAAAGAGTTTCAAAAATCTCCTGCTTGCTTCTTCATACTTACCAACTCCAGAGCTTTGAGCACTGGCAAGGTGAGTTATAAAACTCTACACTGGTCTACTTATGACGGTGGTGGCAGGCAGTTGAGTTGACAAAAGCGATATGTCGCAATGTTGACGCTGCAGCATCTTCTTGTGGAAACGTTGGTTACACTATTGTGCTTCGCGGCGATTCAACTCTTCGCGGTCACTTTCCCGAGGTAAACTTTCTTGAACGGAAGGAAAACAGGTAAGAATAAGTGACTGTCTGAACCTTCGTATTTCAGGAAGCAGATGCAGTATGTGATGTTATTGGAGAGTCAGATGCATGGATAATCTGTCCATTTTTCTGGCAAGGAGGTCGCTATACTATCAATGATATTCATTATGTTTCTGATGGAACTATGTAAGACTGAGCATGCGCGTTCTAGTCATTGATTTTTTCTTTTTTGTAAGGCTTGTGCCTGCGGGACAAACGGAGTTTGCGCAGGACTCCGTTTTTGGATACAAGTCATCAAACCTTCGCGAGGTGACATTCCGTGATTTCTTTTGAAATTTGATGGTGATTCGTAAAATGCAGTGGGTGGAAGAAAAAACTAAAGGTCGAGTATCCTTTGGAGATGTAGCTTCTGTTTCTATTGCTACAATTCGTAAAGGAGGCCCCTCTGCCGTATGTGAACAGCTATGTAATCTCTCGAAGGTAGCAGTCTGTTTTACATCTATTTTCAGCGGCAGTGATCTGGACTCTTACAGAATTCGATTTGCGTGGTGAATGCCGCTAGCGAAAGAGATATTTCCGTGTTCGCTGCTGGAATGATCCAAGTGAGTGTTTGCTGCATGCATCTGTCAGCTTCTAACCTCGTGCATTCTAGGCTGAGGGAAAAGGAAAACGTTTTCTTTGTCGAACAGCTGCAGGTTTTGTGTCTGCCCGGATTGGGCTCAGGTCCAAGCCACCCGTTACTCCAGTGGACCTTGAAGCAGACAAACAAACAAGCTGGCTAAACGGTGGCCTTATACTTGTGGGATCCTACGTGCCTAAAACTACAAAACAGGTTTGTCTTCCTTGGATTCACTCACAACAAACTTTGTAAGCCTTCAGGTGGAAGAGCTGAAACTAAAACGGAGAGGAAGTTCTCTCCAGTCTCTAGATGTAAGTTTCAGTGTAATGTATCGAGAACTAGCGTCGTTGTTTTTTCCAGGTTTATGTTATAGCTATGACCATGAGTCCAGACAATGTAAGAGATGCAGAGATTGCTAGAGTATCTAATGCGGCAGATGTGTTTCTATCGGCCGGACAAGATACACTAATCGTTACAAGCCGTGTCCTTGTAACAGGAAGCAGTAAGTTTTAAGAAATGTTTTGATCAATGACACATTTTGTTTCTTTCAGGTAATTTAGAGAGCCTTGATATTGGAAACAAAGTCAGCTCAGCATTGGTCGAAATTGTTAAGCGTATTCATACTCGTCCCCGGTACATAATTGCGAAGGTTAAAAACTTAGTGGTCATCATCATTAGCAGTCCACATAACGACGTTCTTACAACAGGGTGGCATAACGTCGTCGGACCTGGCAACAAAGGCTATGGGCGCGAGCCGAGCAGAAGTTGTGGGGCAGGCATTAGCAGGAGTACCTATGTGGAAGCTTGGACCTGGAAGTCGGCATCCTGGAATCCCGTACATAGTATTTCCGGGTGAGTTTCTAATTTGCCGTTCTTTTTTTCTTATGTCTGTAAGCCGCAGGGAACGTTGGAGGAGTGGATGCTCTTGCCACTGTTGTGTCTCGCTGGGCAAGACCGAAACGAAAATCAACCAAAGACATTCTTATGGTAATATTTTAAAGCTTGAGAAGTCACTCAAAAAGTGTTTCCTCCCTAGGATGCTGAAAGTGGAGGATATGCGGTGGGAGCTTTTAATATCTACAATTTGGAGGGGGCGAAAGCTGTGATAAGTGCGGCTGAAGCCGAAAAAAGTCCAGCTATCCTGCAGGTGATTTAACAATTAAGCTCCCCTTTAACAAGCAGCTCTTATTCACTTTGTTTATGCATTTGCAAAAGATTCATCCAGCTGCTTATCGGCATGGTGGGCGGGCTTTGGTGGCCTCCTGCACTGCTGCTGCAAAAAGTGCTAACGTACGTAAATCTGTTCACTTTTGGCTTTCTTGAATAAGTTAACAATCCACAATCACATACAGGTGCCTATAACTGTTCATTTCGACCATGGCAATGATGAAGCAGAACTTGTGGAGACCTTGGAGCTGGTAAAGCGACATTATCACGCTTTCTCTTTTTCTATGTACAAATGTTTTTTTACAGGGATTCGATTCAATAATGGCTGATGGGTCGCACCTAGCATTTGACGACAATGTGGCATTTACCAAGCGTATAGCATCGATGGCACATTCAAAGGGCCTCGTTGTAGAGGCCGAGCTCGGCAGGCTCTCGGGTACAGAAGACGATCAGACCGTCGAAGAATACGAGTCGAAGCTCACCGATATCGACCAGGTTGGCCTCTCGTTTACAAATTCCGCTAAAACTTTCAACTTGTCGTGGGGTTTTCTTTTTCTCTTCCAGGCGAAAGAGTTCCTGGAAAAGACTTGCGTAGACGGACTTGCTGTGTGCGTCGGCAATGTCCATGGGAAGTACCCGGCAAGTGGACCGAAACTGGACATGGAACTTCTCAAGGTTTGTGTGTGCCACGCTCTCTGCAATTTGTATAGTATCCCGACAGATCAATCTGATAAGTTTGACATGCAGGAGCTGAGAAAGACGGCTGCTGACCGTGGAGTGCTCCTTGTCTTGCACGGAGCTTCGGGCCTACCAGCAAGCATGATCCAGGTGACGGAAAAAAAGACACTCTTTTTTGATTTTGAAGCTTTAATCCAATCCAATCCAATGCTACAGGCCTGCATTGACAACGGTGTACGCAAGTTCAACGTAAACACCGAGCTCCGGACGGCCTACACGGAAGCAATCGTGAGCTGCTCCGGAAAGAGAGACATTCTGGAGATGATGAAGCACGCTCAATCCGCCATGGAAGCTGTAGCGGCGAGCAAAATGAGGAGCTTTGGCTCATCAAGGAGATCCCCGGGCATCATGAGAGAATGAAGAACCAAAAGAGCACAGAGGTAGCAAATGATGGGGAATCCAGAAGTGACAATCAAATTGGTGATAATCATCATTCCGTGGAACTTGACGCATCCATGAATGATCGATTCAGCTCACGGTGAGCTTTGTCAATCGTGGACTTTGAGAAGAAGTATATCAGATTTGGATCTCTTGGATGGTTCGTAGGTAATGACGTGAGTGGCGCGAAACTCTCGTGAATATGCTGTGACCAGCAGTGCCAGACAAAACGAATCTTTGGATTTTAAATTTTAAAAAAGATCCCTCCAGAATGGCGGCTGGACGCCACTCCAGCCGCAATTTGGAACGACCTGGCCAAACTTCCTCGCAAACCAGGGTAAATCCCCACACCTAATAAAAATCTCCGAGGGTTTTAGAGAATTTTCTTCCAAGCAAAGAAAGCGAGAGCGAGAAAAGAAAGAGAGAAGAGCGCGAGAAGAAGAAAGTGGTTCTTGATTGGATCTTGATCAAGCAAAGGTATCTCTATTTCATCCATCCAAGTCAAATGTGTCGAGGGCTTAGCGAGCCGATCGATCCTCCTCCCGGCGACTACTCGGACGATGGCTGGCTGCCCAAGTGGCTGCTGGACTGGGAGATGGACGTCGAGGACTTGAATTCGCTGCCGCCGCCGCAGATGGAGCTGAGCCCGGACGATCTCTTCCAGGACGAGCTCCTCCTCCAGGACGCCATCTGGTCAATCTCCTCGTCCAGCGCCTCCAGCAATGCGGCCTCGCCCATGGATTCATCGCCCATCACCCCCAATTTGCAGCAGATCGAGCTGACAGTCCAAGAAGAGGAGCGCCGCCAACAACCGCCGCCACCCCCGCTAGTGGACGAAATCCCCGCCAAGATCCCCAAATTGGAAGCGCAGGACGCCAATGCGGGTTCTCTACTCCGCCAATTCGCTCGAGAAGAGCAGAGCCAGACCGATCCAGCGTCCGCGATCGTGGAAACCCAGGGCGGCGAGTCCAAGCGATCCAGTCCCGCCCAGCCGATCAAACACTACCGCGGCGTGCGCCAGCGGCCGTCCGGCAAGTGGGGCGCGGAGATCCGAGACCCACAGCAGAGGGTCCGGCTGTGGCTCGGCTCGTACGGCACCGCCGAGGCGGCGGCGCTGGCGTACGACGCCGCCGCCAGGAGGATCAAGGGGAAGAAGGCCAAGCTCAACTTCAAGGACGAGGAATCGCTGGCGTACGCCAAGCTCCACCACCCGCCGGCGGCGCTGAGGAGCAAGAAGCGCGCGAGGCGGTGCACGAGCGGCGATGGCGGCGGCGGCGGGGACGGCATATTCCAGACATATACCCGCGGCTACGGGGATATTCTGGGCGCGCTGGAGGATATGCCCCCGGCTCTCAAGGACAAGTTTGCGCGGTTTCTAAGCGGCTGCTACGATTCCAGCAGCTAGAGTGTGGATCGCGATCGAGCGGAAATGTAAATAGGATGAATCCATCATTCCGGGGACTTTTTTTTGATTAGTTGGAGACAGCGCACACGAGGGTCGCGATCGTGTTGTCAAAGTGAATAACACTTGGTTTGGTTGTTTAATCACAGCCAACCAAGCCGGCAATTTGCAATCTTCACGTAACCCTTGTCACGCTCCAGCCAGACTTGACTATAAGATGCGAAAGGTTTTGTTTGATTTTGTCACGTATATTATTGCCAGCGGGCAATGTGACAATCTCTACGTAACTCTCTGTCACGCCCCTCCTCGAGGAAATCCTGCGCTTGTGAGCTGCTAGGATTTGTCCTCTTGGTTCTCTTCCTGAAACCCTGAGATTTTAACATACCAGATCGAATTTCCTATCAGTGCCTGGATCACAGCTGGTGCGCAGATCAGTGCCACGAAGTGCCTATCAGACTTTTTGTCGCCAAATCCCCGGGCCGCCAGGAGCAAGTTGAGGATGTGTAGTGGATGCGGTCATGGATCAAGAACCTTTACAAGATAACTTCGCGACCACAATCGATCGAAAGAGGATCAAAAGACAATGCACCGTTACATTTGCCGTGCAGATTTTTGGCGTTTGCCCTAATTCCTTAGCACCACCGCAGCCTACAAAGCGACAGGCAGCGCATGCGCGCGCGCTTGTAGCAAAAATTATGTTCGCCGATAGCTATCCACGAAAAGCTGTTGGCCCCCCCTTTTTTCCTCTGGAGATTGGATGGGCGAATCTAACTATCAAAACGATAAGGTTGCCCGTGCTAAGCGCGCAAAAAAGAAAAAAAAATAAAAAAATATACATCTCTCCAACGTTTCCATAGCGCCGACAAATTCATCCAACTCCCACGTGTCGAGAAATCCCTCTCCAGGCACCAAATACGTTGCACTCTACGAAGCTTCTCCCAATATGCACCGTCTTTACCCCGAAACAAGGCTCCATTCTCCTCCCTCCAGAAAACGATTAAAATATATGGTGTACGGTACGAGCCCCAAGCTAATGGGCCATGCGGTCACAAACTCCCGCCTTCCGTGCTCCGCCGACACCCAAAGATCCAAAACACGGCTTGGCTGCCCGCCACGTGGCGAGCGGCAATTGTCGGCGCTACGGTGGCTTTGTAGAGTCCCTGTCCATATGGTTCTTGTGTACCTACAAAAAGAGAGGTAGCTCGGGATGGCCTATCGCTCTCTGCCACGCGGACCGCCGCTGGCCACGGTGGACGATGCCTGGTTACGTAACCGGCGTAACCGGTGTGTGTGGATGCTTAAATCTTTCGGTCTCGCATTCTCTTTCTAGGGTTCTTGAGCGTCCTTTGCTTTGGCGGAGTTTTTTTTCTGCCAGAGCACTGGGCTGCAAAGTCGGTGTGTGTGGAGGCGGCAGAAAAAAAAGAGAGAAAAAATTGGACTGCGCACCAGCTGTGATCCAGTGCTCCCGCCTCTCTGCTTTGAGTGTCATCCACGGCGCCTACTTTCTCTTCTCCAAAATCTCCCCCCTCCTAGCATCGATCGAGCAATCCATGTAGCTGTTCCATTGCGCCATCGATCCCTCGATCGATAATCTCTCGATTCTCATTGAAATATCTCAAGAACAAGAGGGAAAATTCAAGGATTGTGCGCGACTTCCAAGCGATTCCAGGGATGGAGAACAAGAAGCCACTTCTCCCCCCCAACAAATGGCTCCATCTTCCATTGGAGCTCCACGAGAAGATCTTCGCGCTCCTCCCAATCGCCGCAATCACTCGCTGCCGCGCCGTGTGCCACACCTGGCGATCGATCCTCCTCTCCCCGCCCTTCCTCCAGCACTGGGCGCGCATCGCCGCCCCAATCCCCTGGTTCCTCATGTTCCGCGACCACAAATTCCGTGCCTACAGCCCCGCCCTGGGCACCTGGCACGACATCCCGGCCGTCAATCCCTCCGACCACGCCTTAGATCTGACGTGCATTGTCGCCTCCGCGGGAGGCCTCTTGTTCTTGAGCTCCCAGAAGAAGAAGAAGGGCTCGCCTCCACTCCTCCTCGTTTGCAATCCCCTCACAAAATCGTGCCGCATCCTCCCGGGCCTCTCCCGGATCACGCTCATTTACGTGATGGGGATGATGGAATCGGGCTGGAACTCGTACAAGATCCTCGTCGCCGGGGTTGCGAGCTCCTCCTCGCAGGAGCTCATCACCGAGATCTACGACTCTGCCAGCGGCGGGTGGGAGTGCCAATCCTCGGCGCGGCTGGACGCTTTCCAGGATTTCTCCGGGATGCGCGCGGTCTGGAGCGATGGCTTCTTCTACTGCCTCTCAGTGCCGCCTTACAAGCTCGTCGCCTACGACATGGGCAAGCGATCCTGGATCACGCTCGATCACGCGCAGCAGCTACCGGCGCTGGCCATCCCCAACCTCGCCAGTGCCTCGCTGCTCGTGTGCCGCGGCCGATTGGTCATGGCCGCCAAGATCACCGGCGCCGCGGCTAGCAAGAGGGTCCGGATCTGGGAATTCGACGCGCAATCGTGCCACTGGAAGGACGCCACCGCCAACAGCGATCCCGTCCTCCAGGAATTCTGCAAGTGCGTGTCCTATTTCATGGCGCTCCAGCGGCCGCGCGGCCTGGATTCCGTGTGCTTCAATAGCTGGTGCCGGTGGAGGACGCTCATGTACGATGTGTCGCAAAAGAAGTGGCACTGGCTGCCCGAGCACTGCGGGAGATTCAAGGACATGCTCAGCGGGCTCACTTACGAGCCCACATTCTTGGCCAGAGCTTGACGAAGAACCCTAACATCACGCAAGAGCCCTAATTACGTCCACGTGGCTGATCAAGGAAGAGCCAAGTGTTGGTATTTTTTAATCGAGGATCGCTTCAAAGGAAAAACTGTCAATAGTTTCTGCGATTCGACACTTTTACAATATAGCTATTTTTCACCGAAAGTTTTCACCGAAAGTACATCTATACTGAAGAACAGTGCTTGCTTCCGTATCTTTTTTCTTTCTTGGTTCATCCATAGTACATGAACGTCGAGCCTCTGGATCGACGCATATAAATTCCTGTCAAGTTGGATGGTGGAAAGCTGCAAGACAACCAAGGCAAGAGGAGCTTGATCTAGCAAAACAAGACAAAAGGGAATTTAAAAAGCTGAAAGCACTCACTTGGGAGATCCGTGAAATCCCACTTTAGTTCGTCAATCGCTAGCCTCGGGCGATCTCCTCGACTTGGATGATCGCTCCTTCTTTCGCGAGTGGTCCTTGCGGCTCCTCTTGCTCGACGACGATGACGATTTCTTGCTGCGGTGATGGCGCTTCCTCCGGGAGCTCTCGTCGTCATCAGTCGACGAGTAGTCCCTCCGGCTCCTCTTGGAACTGGATTTCCTGCTCTTGCTGCGATGGCTATGGTGTCTCTTGCGCTTCCTATCACCCTCCGAATCGTCACTGCTCAAGCTATCGTCCTTCTCCGAGGAGTAGCGCTTCTTCTTCCGGGACGAGGACGACATCTTCTTCGCGATCGCCCTCTCCATCTCCGAATCCACATCACTGTCCGAGTCGCTATCGTCGTCGGAGTCACTGCCCTTGTCGGAGTCGGTCCCCGGATGAGTCTCTTCGCGCTTTCCGCCCTTGGTGTTGCCCTCCACCGCCACGGCCCCATTGCCCACGTCCTCCTTGGCCACCGCGAGGAAATTCCTACACTGGAATGGTAGATGCCCAACTCGCTTGCATCGCCGGCAGGCGCCGCGGGGCTCGTCGCTGCTGGAAACCTGACCGCTCTGGATCTTCGCAAGCGCCAGCAATCCCTGGAAGCTATCGTAGGCATTCTCTCCTGCCGGCACCGGCGCCGCCCTCTCCCCGCCAGAGGGGTCCTTGCGATCCGGGGCGTAGGGATCATACCCGATTGCGCTCTGCCAAATCCCGTGAGTCTGTAGCGCCGCGCTGCTGTGCACGCGATTGTTGGCGGGCATGCGAACTCGCCCCGCGGTGGCCGGCATCTTGATCCGCTCTTCCTTCGCTCCGCAACAAACCCTAGCAAAGGAAATGAAAAGAATATGCTTTAGGGTTCTTCGTTTAGGGTTCTTCGCCTTGTTTTAATGGCGCTCGTGAAATTCGCTATCGCGTCGGTGTTCATGTGGACGGCGCCGCTGCTCATTCTCCAGGCTTACAAGCGCGATCTCCTCCCAGGTATGGCGAGATCGATTCATTTTCTAAGAGATTGGCTCCAGGATTTTCCAGTCTTTCACCGGAAGTGCAAACCATCGTTTGTGGATTACTGGCGGTTGTCTCCGTCAATGTCGTGATTGCCTTCTACATTCTATCGGCCATGCGAGAGCCTCCGACGAGCGCGGAGCCAAAGCCCGATCCAGAGTTTGTTTCTCGAGCTAGAGCCAGCGTCGAGGCTCTCCAATCAAGCCCAGAGATCAAGAAGAGCGAGTAACAAAAAATTGGTATCGATTGATTCGCCCTCTTTCCTTTCTCTTTCGTTTTTTCTTTTCTTTCATTTGGTCAGCTGGACGACAATAACATAGAATTCTCCATCTGGGACGACTACAATCTCGTGAACCTTGGTACGTACTCTCAAAAGCCTCACTTGATCCTGGAGCTAAGAAGTAAAAGATTTTGATGGCAGTAAATCGGAGCTAGAAAATCTGCGAACCTTGGATTCGATGTCGTGGATCAAATCTTTGGCTTTGGTCGCGAGTGGAACCATGTACGAGGAATACTGGTAACAAAAGTTTTACATGATTGGAGCGATCAAAGGTGTGTTTTTCTTTTCCATTTTCCAGACATTACCCGAGCAGTGGTTTGATCGTCCATCGTGCTCGTGATAGGAATTCCAAGGCTGTCTGTGACGATCGTTCCGAGAATTCCTGTGGAGAAAAGATCAAAGTCAGCCAGTGGAGCTCTTGATCTTCCAAAGATCTTGGAGGAACCAACCTCTGTGCGACGAGATCTTCTTCACGGTCTCCTCGACGTGATACTGCGAGCGCGCGAGCGAGCATTAAGCTTCTCCTCGCGGCAATTCTATAGGGGCAAGAGAAACAAACACCTTGGCCTGCGAGAATTCGTGGGGCTCCTTCTTCTTCACCTCCACGATCACGGGAGCTTTCTCCTCCTCCTCCTCAGCTGGGGCTTCTTCTTGCTCCTTTTCCTCCATCGCCAAATCTCCAAAGCTTTCGCTCCCGGAGGAGAGCGAGAGATGCGAGGAGTCATGAGTAATCTGGTCCGTCCATTTTATTTTAACGAAAGTATATACTTAAAAAGATGCTAACCTAGAATGTGCCCCGTACAATGTGCCACGTGGAAAGCGCATCCAGTCCGTCCATTTTGAAGCTTACATTTTGCCACGTGAAACTCCCAACATTTAAGGGTATATGCTTGGAGAGATGCTCTTTCTTAATGGGGCAAGCTCTTCGCAGGGCAAGAGGAGCGGCGGCGAGGTTTGCGGAGGAGAAGAGCGCGCCGAGCGATGCCGCGCGCAAGGCCGTGGCGGCGGAGGACGAAGATCGGCCGATCCGGCTCTACTCGGCGGGCGTTCGGAGGGTGAAGACGAAGGAGCAGCTTGAGACCGAGGCACGATGGGCCGCCAAGTCGAAAGAATTGTATGGCAATCCAAAGCCAGGTAAGATTTCGATTCCATGTAGCTAGAATCTTGCGATTGAGAAGTGTGAGAGCAGCCCCGGATGCCAAGGCGCGGCTGCGAGCACAGCAGGAGAAGGAGACCGATTATCGCCCGGATCCTCCATTCGATAAATCATACGATCGTAAGTTTCGTCCATGGATCCTGCATTCTCTATGATCAAATTTTTTACTTGTGTTCTTCGTAGAGCCCTTTCCTGGTCACAAACCGGTTGAGCGAGAATCATTTGATCGAGAATGGGACCAGAGCGATCGCACTTACAAGTATATGGTCCAGAAAGCCGCTGGACAAGTGGTATCCAGGACCGAGAACGTTGGACCTGGAGGAGAGGTACGTGTTCTTGGTACTATCATTTTTTTTCCTCTCGACTTCTCATCTAGTTTCCAGCATACCAGCATTTCCACAGTAGCTAGATCGTTCAAACTTCATCTAGTTTCATCTAGTTTCCGGCATTTTCAGATCGTTCAAAGTTCATCTAGTTTCCAGCACTTACACCATAGCTAAATCGTCCAAACTTCATGTAGTTTCCAGCATTCCCACAGTAGCTAGATCATCCAAACTTCATCTAGTTTCCACTATAGTTCCTAGCATTTCTTTGCTCGCAACCTCTAGAACTGTGAGCTCTCTCCGGGCTCTTTGCTTCGGCTGTAGGACCTGTCACTCAAAACGAAGTTTTGGCTTTCCTTCCAGGTCCCAAGAGCGTCATCACCGCAGCCATTCGGGACCCCCGCGCCGCTGAGCCGATCCAAAGTCGACACTGCCGACAGGGAGGGGCGGATCGTCCCAGGCAAGCTCAACATCCTCCAGCTGAAGCAGGCCTTCCTCCTCCACCATGGCCAAGCCGAGGGAGCAGTGAAGCAACTGAGCGTGGAAGCCATAGCCGAGAAGTTCGAAGTTAATCCCGACCTCCTCAAGCGCGTGTTTAAACACACCTCTCTTGCGGAGGGCAAGCCCGTGGACAAGTCCATCTATAGGGGAGTAGCAAAGTCCTCCAGATAAAAACGAGGAATCTTTCACTTTTACCATGGTATAAAAGAAGAACAATGTTGACATCCGTGAGTATTTCCACGCCTTTGGTTTCCATAAATTATAGGCAATGTCGACATCTCTAGTCTCTTGACAATCTTGGCTCCTAATAAATAGATCTAATCACAATCTTGCACGTAGCGATCGAACGGTAGCGTTTCTTGACTCTTCTTTTCTCATCTAGCCTGCCACTTTTGATTGATGTCTTGATTCTAGCGATCGATCTCTTCTACTTATAATCGATGTAGTGGTCATAGGGATCGATCTTTTTCTCGTTTTTTGCTTTTCACCTTTGAATGGATTGCTCCAGCGATGAATCATGCATCAACAAGGACGAAGCCCTGCGCCTCAAGATCGCGGGGATCGCCGCGATCCTCGTCAGCTCCTTGCTAGGCGTCGCGATCCCGCTGGTGTTCAAGAGCTTCAATCGCACAAGAGTGTTCTTCGCGGGGCAGTGCTTCGCGGCCGGCGTGATCCTCTCCACCGGTTTCGTGCACATACTCCCGGACGCGTTTGCGGCGCTCACCAATCCATGCCTGTCGGAGCATCCATGGGAGAAGTTCCCCTTCCCGGGATTCATCGCCATGACCACTTCCATGCTGGTTTTGTTCGTGGATTCCATGGCACTGGGCTATTACACTCGCAGGGAGGGGGAGACATCGTCCATGGGCGATCATGCAGATCATCCACACCATGTCCACGCTCATCCTTCCAACGATCACAGCGCAGAGGTCTCCAAGGTCCACGATTCGCAGGAGCTTGAAGCCAGTGCCGGGTCGACAACAACAACTATAAAAAACAAAGTTGTGGCTCAGGTAAGTGTAGAACTTCTAGCCTTTCGCTGTGATCTAGAGTTTGAGGTTTTGACTTTGCAAAGGTGCTAGAGTTTGGGATCCTCGCACATTCGGTGATAATTGGAATCGCTATGGGGACTTCGAATAGTCCATGTACTGTTCGTCCTTTGGTTGGGGCCCTTGTGTTCCATCAGTTTTTCGAGGGATTAGCACTTGGTGGATGCATTTCCTTGGTAAGATTGGCATTACTGTGGTAAAGTTTTGATAGATTCAGCCTTGCAATGCAGGGAAGCTTTAAGGCCGTTTCCAAGCTGCTCATGGCTTTGTTCTTCACTATCACGACCCCCGGTGGAATTGGTATTGGAATGATTATTTCTTCGAGATATAACGAAAATGATCCTAAGGCTTTGATTGTGGAGGGAGTGTTTGACTCTATGTCAGCTGGAATTCTTATCTACATGGCTTTGGTTGACTTACTTGCCTCTCATTTCATGAGTAAGGAGTTCTTGCAACAATCTTGGAGACATTACAGTTTAGGATATTTGTTTTTGGTCTTGGGAGCTGGAGCAATGTCGGTGATTGCTATCTGGGCTTAGATGTTTTCATAAAAATATAATATAATATGCTTATCTGGAAAATCACTTTCTACTTTTCATGTAAATATTTTAAAATAAATATCTCTAAAATATTAACTTCAGCGATAGATAGCTGTAAATAAAGAAGTATTTAATTTTTATATAATAAAATTGTCTTGTAAATTATAATTAGTGTTATCATATAATTAAATAGAATGCAACACTTTATACCTCTTTGAAGCCTCTTTGATGCTGGTCAATTTGAATGCTACATTATGATTAGATGCATTTATATATAATCACTTGGTCTTCTGTTGTTGTTTTATGACAAGATTTTATTTGTTTGGGAAAAAATAGAGATTAAGTGGCAATAAGAAATATAAGTGTGCAAGTGCCTAAAAATGAATTAAGGCATATATATACTAAAGTAAAAACCATAAAAAAAAGGTTGATATGTTATTCCTCCATCTTCTATGAC